AATTAAAATAAATGTTCCAAAACCAATCTGGTGATACTCTAAAAGTTGATGAAAACACATAGACACCCACCAGTATTATACTGTCGCCATATCAACAAAATTCTTAGGATTGACCTACGATTCTAAATTAATATGGAAAAAATAACATTACCCAAGTCACAAGTAAACTATGGTAACAAGCAAACTATGCTAGGAGACCGTCAGGCAAAAATATTGGAGCATCACCAGAAAACGTTATTAAAATTTATAAACAGTAGATACGTTCATAATGGAATATTCCTGTCGAACATGGAGTAACATTGCACCGTCGCATATTACCAAATTACAAATAATACAAATTTCAGTAATCACCATAGCATTTAGAGTGTCTAGGTCAACAAACACAGTTTTTATGCACAAATATGCAAATATACAACCAATCCACGACAGACTACTAGATTGCTCGTTTAATTGTTTTCATAAAAAATCTCAACAAAAATGATCTACTAACCTCCATAGATCGTTATGTCATTCATGATGATGATAGTCCTAAGTATGTCTTTTCACTCAATATGTACTATAAGTTGAGTATAACTTATAAGTCAACCTATTGTTACGTATCTGCTTGTTTGATAATTTCCGGTAAAAATTATTTCCTAGAAACTTCAGCGACACAAGTCCCTTCTTAATTAAAACTAGTTTATTCTTTCTCGGTAGAACTTTGTGATACACTTAACAACCTTTATAACACACACACTATAAATCACAGTGATTCGCACACTTTACTTACGGTGCCTACTGTTCGCTTGACTCAATTATATATATCTCCGATCTGTCTATCTCTGACTTTACGCTGGTTTTTCTTGCCAGGCTTATATACTAAAAACGAGGGCGCATGGAAAACACTAGGACATTCGTGGAGTTCATCGATAATTCATTATCCTTCTAGAAACTCCAGCGCGCATGCTCCCAGCGTCGCGTGACTTCCGCTGTCGTAACACTATGTTAGATAATAAAATATCGCTTAGGATTAGATATCAAAAGTGTATTTAAAAGGGATTTTGTGTCAAATACGCGTCTGATAACTTAATCTAGTGAAATAGTGATGCTTTGCCAATGGAACTGTTTGCGAGCGTTTTACTCAACCCAATTTTGAGAAGTGGCAAAATAGCACTAAAGTAAATGATGCTATAAGCTTAACATTCATGGAAGTGGCACTGAATAATAATAATAATAAGTAACTTTATGTTTGAACCCTGATCTCGTGAAATAATTGTACAGCATTCGACAGTTAATAAACAAACCGTAAAGGGTGGAGAAAATGTCTAAATAACATCTGACCCTCCCAGATCGCCCACAACACTACCGAACACTGATCCAGACACACGGCACGGTACGTTTTCAGTATTATATTTTAACTACAATAGTTCTATACCAAAGACATTTAAAAAAATTATCGTACACAGAGCTCATAAACTTACCTGTAATATAGAATTATTTAAAAAAGAAACAAATGACATTGAATATTATTTAGGTAACATCTGAAAGGATGAGTATACAACGAAAGTAATAACCAGTATAATCAACAAGTACATTAAGAAAGCTTCCACCCCTAAAGAAGTAGTATACAGCGTACCAAAACGATTCTTTATATAACACTATCATTCAAAGGTAAACATGCTTTGAAAATAAAGAAACAACTAAAAACTTTATTATGCAACGTTTATCCGCAAATAGAACTTCGAAACATCCTTAAGTCCATCGTGAGAATAGGGAAATGTTTCGTGTTTAAAGACAAAATAGGCAAACCAAGTCGCTCGAATGTCGTCTTGAAAGTGCTCCACTGCGTGTCCATATATATCTAGGATTTACTACAAGAAGACTGGCAGATAGAGTAAAGGAACATATTTTACTAAGTTCAGTGAAGTAAAGGAACATAGTGTTACGACAGCGGAAGTCACGTGACGCTGGTAACACGTGATGATATTCTCGAAGGATCGTGAATTGTTCTGGCAACTCTAGTCTGTTCCAGCCGCCCTCTTTTTTAGTATATAAGCCCGGCAAATAAAGCGAGAGGAGAATTGCATAAATAGATGGATAGATAGAGAGATAATTGAGTCAAGCGAACAGTAAGGACCGTAAGTAAAGTGTGTGAATCACTGTGATTTATAGCCTGTGTTTATAAAAGTAGTTAAGTTTAAAGTGATTGTGGAAATTCTGTGCATTACAAAGGTGTATCTAGAAAGAATAAACTAGTTTTAGTTAAGAAAGGACTTGTATCGCTGAAATTCTTCGGAAAGAACTTATACCGGAAATTAACAAACGAGCAAATACGTAACAATAGTTTACCAACTTAAGTTGAGTAAAGGAACACAGTTTATCAAGTTTAGTGGAGTAAATGAAAATAGTTTACCAAGTTCAGTGGAGTAAAGGAACATAGTTTACCAAGTTGAGTGGAGTAAATGAAAATAGTTTATCAAGTTCAGTGGAGTAAAGGAACATAGTTTACCAAGTTGAGTGGAGTAAATGAAAATAGTTTATCAAGTTCAGTGGAGTAAAGGAACATAGTTTACCAAGTTCAGTGGAGTAAAGGAACATAGTTTATCAAATTGAGTGGAGTAAAAGAACATAGTTTACCAAGTTAAGTAGAGTAAAGGAACATAGTTTATCAAGTTCAGTGGAGTAAAGGAACATAGTTTACCAAGTTAAGTAGAGTAAAGGAACATAGTTTACCAAGTTAAGTAGAGTAAAGGAACATAGTTTATCAAGTTGAGTGGACTAAAGTATTACCAAGTTTTAAGTGGAATCATCAAACATTTTGAAACATGGTACTTACAATTCTGTAACTGTTGAACATCTTAAATTATTGGATCCACAGAAAATTGTTATTTATTATGTATTAAAGAGGTATTGGCCATTAGAAGCCTACAACCAAAACTAAATAGGCAATCTAGTACTGGAGAACATATACTGAGATTGTAATTAACCTAGTAAGTATTTGTTAAAGAAAAAATCCATAAACATTGAAATTAACTCCACCAGTTACTGTTTGGTTCTCACATGAATGTTTATCTAGAAAATGTGTGATTTTCAGGTATGCTATACCATTCCTACCTCTTTATTTAGTATAACATTTTTCAAAATTTCTGCACATACTGAGTATGTAGTTTTAATATATAATATCGATAAAAGGGGTCGTTCACCTAGGGTGTCACATGAATATTCTTGTGGGAAATATTTTTGTAACTGTATCGAAGTAAACAGTAATCTATTGTAGTAGCAGGTCAGGTGATACCTCAAAGGTACAACATCTCATAGTTTCCTTTGTTCGATTTAACTAATAGTCTAATTAATATTTTCAATTCATCTACATTATTGATAATAGAAATGGGTGTTCCAATACTACACGATCTAACATCCTTGTATCTCTTAAATGGCGTGTTTAATATTTTATCTGCAATTACGATGGATCCAAGTTCTATTGAAAACTGCATAGCTTCGTTTAATCAAACACATACACATACTTTATTCAGTCTGATCATTATACCGTCATCTGTTAAATGATCTATAAAATGTTCACATGCCAACGAACACGCCATTTCACGAGGAGCATAGAGGTTAGATAACTGGGCAAGTCTTTCCAAATCTAAACATAACATAATGTCTATGGACAACAAGGGACCTATTCGTCCATCTCAGCTGACCCATCCTCTAAATTAAACTAAAACTATCGAATAAATAAATGAAAAATTAGAGAAAATAAAAATCTAAAAGCCAGCTCTTATCATTCAGGTTTAAATGGGTGTCTTCTTTCCTCTATAACTTATTCTAAAATTTTGCTTTGGATACTTCTTTCTGGTACAACACACCATACCTGTTGGATAAAGCAGCTATGTATGCTAAACAGTTGTTACAACTCTTGACTGGAAGTGTACTTAATGTTGTCAGAGCTAGTTCTTTTAGATTGAAAGCAAAATGAATGGTTTGTTGTTCACTATTCCAGGAGTTCACTATGAAAATTATTTCTTACTGATCCTAGAAAACTTCTGTTGCATATTCTTATCATAGCCCTTTGGCTTTTCTAATGGTCAATGTTTTACTGGTCAGCTAAATTCAGAAGCTGAATTTGATAGTGTCATGGTTAGAGCAGTGCAGGAAGGTCGTTCAGTAACAGCAGTAGTTGCGATAGGTGTAGGCCAAATAAATTATCCTATTCTATACTTATAATAAATGGTGTTTTAGGTTGGAACTCTTGAGCCAGTGCAGAAAGTGGTATGACTGATTTAACCTGATCTCTACATTTAGTTATTCATTTTTCAGATGTTTTATTCTGACACTGATGTTTCTTTCTACTTCGTCAGTTTCGTAATTACAGCTACGCTGTACTGTTTCAGTCTTATCATTATAGCCTCTTTGTACTTCTTTGATGTCCTTCTGCATTTTTTTTTCAAACTTCTTATTGTAATTTCTCTGTACATCTCCAATAGTTTCATTGATCTTGTCTTCAATCACATTTATTTTGAACTTTAATTCTTCTTTAAATATTAAACAAAACCGCTCCCTGAAAAGAGAAATCAAACGTGTTTCAATGGTTACTTGAGGTTGACACGAATCACAAAATAGAATTTGCAAATTAAGATATATTAAATTCAATCTTAATTGAAGGTCTTCGTCCAGACCTTATTAAAATAATAATAACAATAATTAAAAATATGTTTGCATCAGAAAACTAACATTAAAAGATGACACATCAGTCATGGTATTTTCTGACCATTTTACGGTTTAATAATAAATAAAGACTGTTGTAGCATAAAGGAAAATAAATGACAATTTGGCTATTACCGAAAATATATAAAATAAATAGTAGATAAATTTTATGATTTCACAGCCAAAAAGAAAAAGGAAAGAAAAAAAAAGGTCCACCGCTCGTTATGTAAAATTCTAAAATTACCACATTATGAAATAAGTGAATATTATTACTTAATTCCTTTCGCTGATATGTAATGTGTGTCGACAGGTGGCAATTTTATCTGTGTCCTTTTCGGAGGAGGAAAATTGTTAGAAGTGTCGCGGCTTTGGAGATTAAGTTGTATAATATATTAAACTACGCCTTATAACAAGTAGTGATGTATTTGTTGAGAACAGGAATAAGTCGCTATTCTTTTGTCAGTACTAGATTCTTTTCAACTTCATATTGCGCATTAAGCTCACCGAAAGTTGCAGTTGTAAGATATTTTGTATAATAATTTTAATAATATATATATATATATTAATTAACTATGTTGTAACATGTATAGTTGTGCTTTTAGTTTTAGTTAGTATTAGCGTAAAATTACGCATATTGAAATAACCATGTTTCATTTATTATTGTTTGTATTGTTACTGTTAATAATAATATGACCAGTAATAGGAGTAGTATTACTATTAGCGAGCGTTTCACGCTTATGTTTGTCACTGCAAAACTTTGACTTCAGGTTCAATTATTATTTGAAGTACGTATAAAATTACAAATATAACATGTCATTTGGTGATATGTACAGAAAACCGCCAGACGGTTTGGTTCTTTTTTTAGAGTTTTTACTTGTGCTACTGTTATTCTAGTTGTTTTTGACTGTATAGAAATTAGTACAAAAATGTTATCATATTAACACATTATCAGAGCAACTGTTTACATGAAAAGGAAATAATAATATTAGTAAAATTGCTAGAGTCAATGCTGATCTAAGGCTTATGAAAGGTACAACTTGTAGGGTCCTTTTTGGTAACTGCAGTAAAATATTTGTCAGAAATTTTGCAACAGAATTATGTTGTACATTCATTAGTTTGTCAACTGTATGGTTTTGCATTTTTATCTTTTAAAAATCACTTGTGAAAATATCTGTGAATGTCCCTTAAAACGAGGGGCTCTTGGCAACTCCTGGCTTTGGAAGAGTGTAAATTTAATGTTTAATGCAGTCTCTTTATTTCAGAGCAGCTGTTTTTACCTACTTAATATATATAGCTCTTCAGATCTGCTATTTCTAAGTAATTCACTCTGACATGCATTACACACAGAACATGTACTTTATTTGCTGCCACAAGGTATCCATTTTCCCAACAATGTTGTGAATGGTAACATTCAAATGGTTGTAGTCCTGATGTTCTTGAACTAGTAAGAATATTGCACATTTCATTTCTCAGTTGGATTATCTTTAAATATCTCATCTAATTGAGGTGATTAAGATTGTTAAGGGAATTGGTAGCATTGTATCATCATTTTTGTTTTTTTAGTACTTAATGGTGAGAATAGTACAACTAGGAGACATAAATGTAAATTTTGGCAGGGTAGGAGTCGTCTTCATCTCATTATGTACCAAGTAACTATGTACTGGGCTTTTAATTGGATATTTTGTGGTTCACAGTTCATTTTTAGTTGTAAAAGTTAATAATTATATTGTGAAAATTTGGCAAAACTACAATAGGACATTTTCCAGGAGTTAAAGCATTATTTCCCTCATAATTTCACATAAGTACTTGCCTATTCTAATTCATCTACACTATTGTCATCTGTGATGTCAGTACTCTCTTAAAGTTCCCCTTGACTTGAACTATAATACTAAATAATACTTCTTCCAATAAAGCAGTAAACATAAAAAAATAGCTGAACACTAAAAGAGTGAATCAGAAACTTTTCAAGATTAATTTATGGTCTACAAGAATTCTCTTGACAGATCTTGATTTCTTAGTGTTAATACGTTCCTTTCAGAATTTCCAAATATTTGTAATTAGGATAGAACTATCGTTGTGTGTTAAAATAAATTCAATATTTATCTAATGCAGAACATTACATTAGGAGCATTAAAAATAACAATAATTATCTTTGTGTTACTTATTTGTTTGTTTTTCTATTTTATCAGACTCTCTCTCTACCACACATTTGTAAACTGATAGTTACTGCATAATAATACATCCTTCTACTGTAGTTTGTAGCTTCATATATATTTGACTCACTTTTGTTGAAACAATCCTTTCAGATTACAGAAGACAAAAGAACTAGTCAGGTGACAAAAGTTCATATAGCTTTAAAAGATTCTTTGTCGTCAGTCATTAGTTAGTAAATTATTATAGAAAAAATAGATAATTGTTTCAGTATTCATAGAGCTGGAATTGAATAGCTAATTATTTCCTCAATTGTTGAAAAAACTAACCCAAATCTTTAGGCTAAAGTTACAAATTACCCCTTTTGTATTTTCTAAAAGGTTTACATTTCCTTCAAAATTTGCTTAAATGTTTTATAGGTCTTGTCTGGAAATGGAGTTTATGATGGAAGTGAAATTCATGAAGCATCAGCGTAAGTTTGGTCATAAAGTGTGATATGTGTTTGTTGTTGCTTTACTATTTTTTCTAGTCTAGGGGTACAAAATTGATATGGATAGAACGATATTCAGTATTTTTATAAAAATGATCTGTGTAAAGTCTTCTAAAATCAAAGGTTTCATAGTACCTATCCATCATATTAATAACTGTGTGTGTATATTGTGTATCACTAGTATTTACTTTGTGGTTTTTACTTAATTGGAAAGTTTTTCTTATAAAGATATTTTTTAACTATCTATAATAAGAATGATTGGAAGTTTATACACACCATATATCTATCTCAAACAAGAATCCACATGAATGAATATATAGGTTTACATTTAAAAGATGTAGGTTGGCATTTGGATCACATTGTTTTGGGACAAAGAATGAACTCTGATGAAATTTCTAATTTGTCTGCTTTGCTGAGCTCTTATTAATTTTGCAGAATTTTGGTTCATCTTACAAGAGGAAATGCCCAGCCATTAATCTATGCTCCAGACGTTGACCAACTTCACGTTATCAATCACTGCAAAGGTGAACCTATGGAGGGCCAGAAGCGGTATTGAAATTATTGGTTTAGATTTTGTGAAGTAATTTATCATTTGAATCTCAGACTAATTCCAGAATTAAAGAGTGATTACAAATTATAGACTAGGCTTCCTTTTTTCCTAATTGATAAGAATAAGATACTTCTGTATTAACCCTTTGACTGTAACTGCTTTAATTGTGCACAGAATTCGTGGGAGCTGTACACTATATACAACACATTCGCATTTGACTGCCAAACCATACCCTTTATAGTGAGTCAGCAGTCAATGGGTTAAGACAGAGCCAAGTGTTCAATTAAACAGACATAAATATAATCCATAACAGATGTGTCAAGTAAGTAAACATATGAAACTGAATGATTGAAAACTATTACTTAATATTTCTGAACAACTGGCTACATTCTTGGAAGAGTGGTCAAGTAAAAAAATTCTAAATCAATATATAGAAATATATAGAGAATCATTTATGATTTTAGCTCAGGTTTCATTTTATGATTCGATAATGCCTCCATTCTCTTCAAAGATTGCAGTGAATGTTGGCCTTATGTTAGAGCTCTGGATTTCAGTGCTATGAATGTGGTTCAAATCTGTGCTATACCAAAAATAATACCCTGCACTTTAATTGTAACAGTAAATATCTTAGTGTAGGTGGTGGGTAGTAAGGTGTTACTGACAGATTTGCTTTCACTGTGGTCAGTATCTCAAAATTAGGAATGACAGCAGGTAGCCCAAGTAGCTTTACCATAAATACAAAATATAAACACACTTTCTTTGCTGAGTTTGTGATTTTTAAAGTGTTATATTTATTGATCTGTTAGAAACCTCAAGCACAAATCATGAAGAAAAAACCCATCCAAAATCATAAATTCAGCAAAGTAAGAGTGATCTATAAGGAGAAAAGAGGTCTTAATGATTAATAAAATTAAACCTGAATTAAACAGCATATCATGGTTTTAGAATATTTGCTAAGTATTTTTCTTTTGTTAATTTTCTAACCAATATTGTTATGCAAGAAATGTCTTTATGATATTTGTTTTTATCTTCTGTTGTAAAATAACCCATCTAGAAATCATGAAATTCTAGTCAGGCACTGGGGAAGTCCCTAATTCTGAAACAAATACTCACCTCACTTCTATACACAGAATAGCTTCTTTCCTCTTGAATTCACTTGTTCTACCAACAAGATTTGCAAGCCACCTGCCTTGTTAAAACTCCCACCTAATCTCACTTGAATTTGTGCCACTGCATGATGATGTCATCATGTGGCAGAACCCTTCACCAATAGGAATGCAACACACCTCCATGCACTGTGACTCCCTCTACATCTATGATCCTGTATCTTCACTCTTTTTTTCCCTGGCGCCATAGTGCACTGAGATGTTTTGAGTTTGTTGTGATTTGTAACTTTTTCAGTTTTCACTTGATTGAGTTTATTATACTCAACATTAATTCATATCTTACAATAAATACTTCTAATGCTGATATGAGTGAAAAATCTCCCCACACAGAACAGATTATTGCCATTTCTACTAGAAATGCTTTATCTGCTGAAGACGTGATGGTCATTTTCCATCATTTGGTGGATTCCATTATGCTGCTGAACCTTCTGCTCTTGTCCCTTCCACTCACTTCCCTTCCGGTTATTTCAAGTCTGAAACTGAAGAGGACAAATTTGAACACCATTTTCTACCTCCAGGTTTGCATTAGGAACTACTCTGTCTAATGAACATCATCTATTTGATTTTCTTTTTCACCTTATTTGTTCTTTTTATTCCTGTTTAGTTTTAAATAAATTTTCTCCTTGCAAGTTTCTTTGTATATATATTCCTTGTTATATCTGTGATTGGCACTTCTTTTGGGGTTGAACTCTACTCATGATTTTAAGCATCACTCTCCAAGCCTAACTGACTTCCATGTTCTTCCTTTTACTCAGTTGTATTTCCTGTTTCTTGATTCCCAATCTTTGGAGCCACCCTTGCCAGTTTGGAAATCAGATTCATTAACTGCTATTTGACTTTCTTGTGCTCACTTTTCCCTTCTTCATGACGTTTTTCTAACCTTCCTCAGTAACTCTCTTTCCTTTGCCCCATGTTGGTTGCTCTTCTCAGTTTCCCTGATCTCCTTTCTTGGAAATCTAGATCTCTCCTATTTTCTTGTTTTCTCTGTTACACCTTTCTAAGGGATCTTTGTTTTGCCTGTTTTCTTCATCCAGAAGTTTTTAGTGGTGTCACTGATTCCCTGATACCAAATACTTCAGCTGCCCACCACCAATATCCCCTCACATCTTTGTTTTCCTCAATCTACCTCGATCCACCAGCTCTACACATCCTCCTGTCCTATTCCTGTATTCCATCTGTCCTCCATTACTCATCTTACTTTTCTTTAATATCTTACTCACTGGCTTAATTTCTGGTGATCATCCAGTCTTTTTCTCCCTCCCACTTTGGTTCAACTGCTCTCTTTCATCTGACTGTGCATATCTTTGACATCACTAGAGGGTGAGGTTGGAATTATTGGAGAAATAAGCCATTGAGAGGGCTCACAACTCCTATCTGGATTTTTGTTCCTGCCTTTCTGTTGACTCCCCTCAGAGATTGGGGACTGGCATCTGATTTTCAAACTCTCTTCCCTCTATCATTACTTGGTTGTCACACAGTTTTGGATGGTGAATTTTTTCTCTCTCTTTCTGTTAGTCATTTCACATCAGCCTGTGGATGATTACCATCTATGTTTTAGATGTCTTTCTCTACATCCCAACTGTCCCATCTCAATGGTATTTTCTTCTATTCATCCACTGGGATTGCATTTTCAGTTCCATGCTTGACCATTTGGTACAGTGTCAGTTTCTCAGTATTTTCATTCTTGTTATGCTGGCTTTTACTTGTATTCTTCACATTCTGAACCTGTGATTCCATTTTATCTTGGCAACAGGCTTCTCCTCAGTCATAATCCTCCTAACACACTTCTCTTCTTCTTCACAAATCTGATAATTTGAGGTGCCTCTTCAATTTTCATTTTTCTACCTCACCCTAACTTTATTTCTTATTCACTTGGAATTCTTTTCAATTTGTCTCAGCTGTGCCTACTCTTCTCCTATTCACCTGCTAGACTTTGAATGTTTAGTCGCCATGTTTCACACCTTACATTCACTTTCTGTGCAAGAGGTCTTATCTCTTTTGGGCTTCTCTAGAACCTCTCCTTTCTAACTATGGACCTCCTCCTTTGGGCTCTTTCCAGTTGGGTAAGAATAATACTTGCCACATTCCGGGTACACTGAACATTGTCACTGGCTATCTTTCTGGATGAGACTGTGTCCATCTTGTCTTTACTCTGATTTGGGACACCTCTTGCAGGGTCTTATAGGTGGCTCCTCACTGGCAATCCCAACCTTGGTTTCTGTTACTACATTTTCTCTCGTTCATGCCTCTTTCCCCTTCCCAACATACCCTCCCTTTTGAACCTCACACATCACTCTTTCATCGGGGAGCATCATCTCTTCATCTCCACGTGTAGAATTTCTTCACTATATTGCTCTTCGAGTTATACCCTCAAATTCTGTAGCTTTTCTTTTGTTCCACTCATGTCACCCTACTTCCTCTTCTGTGTACCTAAGATTTGGCATACTTATCACTGTTTCCCCCTTGACCGACCTGCTTTGTAACATATTTCCTCCTTTTTCATGTGTCTGTTCTGCCATGGCTTCTTTCTCTCTTCCATCAAGGGTTATCGGTGGATAACCAGACCTTTCTACCCTCTTAAGTTCCTTCCTTATCCACAGACCCCCTCATCTTTCTCTTTGTCAAACTAGAATCTCTGTGGTTCTCCATGATCTTACCCAGGACTCTATTGTGCCTGTAACAATTTGTTTTATGTATCATCTCTCTGTGTGGACCTATATGTAATCCTCCTACTTGAATAAGGTTTTTGTCATTTGCATGCTTATGCCACAGTTTTCTCTTTACCTTACATTGCTTTCTCCTTTATCTTGGTTAGTCTTTCCTTCCCTGTTCTTCCATAACAAGAGTCGATGGTCACACCTTTCTCCAATATCCCTTCTCAATGTTTGTTTAGTACTAGAAAGGTGTCCTGTTTTAGCTGTTTGTTGTTTTGGTCATGCTTTTCCTCTCTTTAGGGTTCCAATCTCTGTCCTTTCATTCATTGGGACCCCTCCTCTACTTGTGATCTCTCTCTCCTTTCACCCTTACAGGACAGATCTGTCTGGTCATCCATATGTTATACCCCTCTTTGATGGTGGATGATTGTAGGCTTTTTTATGTCTCTTCTCATCAGATTTGTCATCTCCCAAATTCTGCAGCAACTATTTTTTTTACTAACTTTTGATGCTATTCTCTGGGCTGGGATGTGGACTATGCCACACCTCTTTTTATCACCCACTATATACACCACCTGGTTGTCTCATTTCTCTCTATAGAGATTTAGGTTTCCACCTATGGCCATTCCTCAATCCACCCTCTATCTATAGGCAGGTGAGCATATGAAAATTTTCTCACTTCATAATTACTGTAGGATCCTATTAGACAGCTAGTGTTGCCTCCCAGAGTATTCTTACCCAAAAATCTGCATCGAGCCAGAATAATGGAAAGTGCTCATACCATCTGCCCTGGTGAACACTATTCCCAGTCCATTCCACACTTTACTGAAACAAGAGATGGTGAGAAACGTGGCTGGAGTGACACCAGTGTGTATTACAGGTCACCCTACGTGTATATAACTATGATACAGTCGAAACCTTCAAGTGGAACAAAGGTTTAAATCACTAAACTGATCTTTTTCTATATCTTTATCTTACAAAGTCTGTTCATTTGAGTCAAGGTGAACACTATTCCCAGTCCATTCCACACTTTACTGAAACAAGAGACAAAAAACACCCCATTCCCACAGCTGGCATGTAGCCTAAAGAGACTGATGGTTGAATGGTTATGTACATAATACTGTGTTCTCACAGCTGGGATGGGGCCTGTAGAGACTGATGTTAGAGTTGAGATTAATATATTGTATACATCAGTGATGTATCACTCATATACCCTACTCTCAAAGCAGGCAAAGGGCTGATGGTTGAGTAGAGGTTTATATAAGTATTAATACAAACATGATTCTATACAATGCCCTCCTCCTGCATTTGGCATGAGTCTTGTGGAGACTGCCAGTAGAGCACGGATACTTATCACAACTGCCCCTTTTCCATAGCTTGTTTTGAACAGTCGAATTTGATGGTAGAGGATATGAGCACACACAGTATGTTCTAAATGATCTTCAACCTCACTACACATATTGGCTGTCTGAATGTGCAAGTACTCAAATAGCCATGTACTTATTCTGGCCATCCTACATGATTGATGTAATGGAAGTTGCACCCCATGGGCTTCCTTCGCACACTTTCTAAAGGGAGCTCATCTAGTTAATATTTGCACTGGCCCCTCTACCATATCAAAATGGGATTTTAGCTATTGTTTGCTAAGAGGTGAGTATTCATTTCAGAACTTAACATTTTTCATACATGGAAATATATTTCTGATAGATACTCACTTCTGCATGTATTCCCACCCATCCTCCCCACTTTTTTTCATTGCCTTGTCAAAGAATGAGGATGTATGAGTGTAAATGTAGAGGGAGTCACTGTGCACTAAGGTGTATCACACTCCTATTGATAGAGGGTTCTGCTGTATGATAATGTCATCCTGCAGTGGGACAAATTCATGTAGTCTCGTGTGAGATTAGGTGGGAGTTTTCAAGGGCTGGTGGTTTGCAGAGTGTGTGAACTCAAGAGGAAAGATGCTATTCTGTGTATCTATTGGAAATATATTTTCATGTAAGGAAAATGTGAACATCTAATGTAAGAGATATTCCTTTTTGTCGGTCACTGGGGAAGACACTTAGTCTAATGTAAGAGATTGCTGAGTATGATTATAGTCTGAATAAAAAATAATGAAACATAAAATAGAAAAACAAAACTGGGATACATTAAAGTACTTACTTTGATCAGTTTTGGCCAGACCAATAAGAAATGGCCTCCTCTTACATTATTTAGGAACGTAATGGTGGAGTCTGCTCGGATTGCACGTGGGAAAATTCAATCGTTAAAAGATCTAGTTGCCGAATCTCATGATGCGCTTGTGTTCCCTGGAGGCTTTGGTGCAGCTAAAAATTTGTAAGTTTTCCGTAAATTTTGTTTACTTTATAATGCATGCAGGAGTATTAGCGAGGGTTCTAATAAATTCAGTGAATGAATTAACTTACATTTATCTGTGTGATCATTACATTTAACAAACCTATATTACTGAAACTCTGGTGAAGTTTTCCATTAGAATTGTTCACCCTGTTTTACAAGATACTTTTGTTTTTACAATAAAATAGTAAAAATTGAAATAAGTTGAAAATTTTTCAAGTTTACTAAAATGGGACCTAAACTGAATTATTACATTTTTTATGTAAATTTTGGCAGTTACATAATAGACTTTATTTTCTGAATTTTCTAAGTTGAGTTTTATAAATCCAAACTAAAAACTGTATTTAAGCCCTTAAGTTTTAATAACTGTGTGCATAAAACACTGTTTTTTCACCATTTTATGTACTCTATAAATAAGATGTTTTCAGCTGTTGTGTATGTGTTAGTTTACTGAATTCATTCAGTTTTGTTCATAATGTTCATGGTAGAGTTAACACAATAGTTTTAAGTTTTTAAACTTTTATTTTTTACAAGTACTTCAGAGACTGTTAAAGGTAAATGTTTCTAATTTTTTTACTTAGTAATGTAGAAATTGGGTTTCTACTTTGAAGGTCTACTTTTGCTGTTGATGGAGACAAGTGTAAAGTAAATCCAGAAGTGGAGCGAATAATTAAAGAGTTCCATGCTGCCAAGAAGCCTATGGGGTAATTTGTTTTTTGTTATTTTAAAATAGCTAATACCTATTCTCTGTGATGTTACTATATTCATTACATGCTGTTTTGGAATAATTACATAAAATATTGAATGAACAATGAAAGAAGTAAGAATTTATTTTAGTTTAACATTTATACTACAACTTTTGTTTTATCTAAGTAGTTTGTACAAGTAGGAAACTCGCAAGT